CACAAGAGTGATCATGAGTCAATCTCATGTAACTCGGTGGTTGTTTGAGGACTTAATCGAGCTGCAGCATTGTGCCAATAATCACAGAACTATTTACATCGTTCATAAAGCACTCTTTACAAGCAACAAGTTTATGTTCTGAATACAGTGCCGCATGATAATTTAGATGGAGGTGTGGTGGGATGGAGAAGGAGAGTCCATGATTGTAAATCCATTCTTCGGCTAAAACTGTTTGAGACTAAGTCACCAATAACAGTCAGCGAATGCATAACAAAGTGATGCTTTTGGCTGTTGCACAGCGTGACGAAACAATAAAAAAACAATGTCCTGAGGTGCAATGTGGGTATCGACTGTGATGACATGGGTAAGTTTTTAGTCTCTAACCTGAGAGTTCCACTGAAGAATCACTGCTGGTCCCCCCAGTCCATACCGAGAGAGTGCTGCACTGTTAGTACTGCTACCTTTGGGAGAAGACATTAAACAGAAGTCCAGAATGCCTTCCCAAGTAGATCACACAAAGACAATTTTGAGGAAGAGTAAGGAGATTATTCATTCACAGGATGAGGGTGTTGCTGACCAAGCATCATTTATTGCCCATCCCAAATTGCCCAGAGGCAGTTTTTTTCAAGTCAACCATATTGCTGTGGGTCTGGATTCACATGTAGGCCAGACCAGGTAAGGATGGCAGTTTCCTTCCCTAAAGGGCATTAGTGAACCAGATGGATTTTTCCCCAACAATCAACAATGGATTCATGCTCATCATTAGATTCTTAATTCCAGATATTTATTGAATTCAAATTCCACCATCTGCCGTGGCAGGATTTGAACCCAGGTCTTCAGATCATTATCTGGTCTCTGGATTAATAGTCCAGCAATAATACCACTAGGCCATTGCCTCCCTCACGTGCTAGCTAATCTCTCGTCAAAGATTACCGAAGTAAGCCATTTATTTACCTCATTCATGCCTATGGGGGCTACTGCACATGAACTTTTCTATTTCTAACACAACAGCCACAAAAAAATACCACTTAACTGCTACTAAATACTACTTGGCTCCACAGCTGGAGGTTCTGGTGACTACACGATAGAAAGGATGTGATTGCACAGGAAGGTTCTTTAAAATTCTTTCACAGGATGAGGGCATCACCAGCTAGGCTAGCATTTATTACCCATCCCTAATTACCCAGAGGGCAATTGAGAGGCTGTGAGGCTGGAGTCACACATAGAACATAGAACAGTACAACACAGTACAGGCCCTTCGGCCCACAATGTTGTGCCGAACTTTTACCCTAAACCTAAGGTCTATCTAACCTCCACCCCTACCTTATACTATCATCCATATGCCTATCTAATAGCTGCTCAAATATGAATACAAAGTTTTCAAAAGTACTCGCATTACTCAAAGTCCAGAATAAGAATAAAAAGTATCTTTAAAAAGTACTCAAATTATACTCCTTTTAACTGAGTCCATGCCTCATAGGCCAAACCAGGTAAGGATGGCAGCTTCCCTCTCTAAAGGATATTAGTGAACCAGATGGGATTTTGCCCTTGACAGTCAGCAACAGATTCAGGGTCATCAATAGACTTTTAACTCCAGATTGTTATCGAATTCAAATTTCACCATCTGCCATGACAGGGATTCAAACCCAGGTCCCCAGAACATTACCTGGTTCCCCAGGTTAATAGTCTAGCGATAATACCACCAGCCAACAGCACCTCTTAGTGTGCAGAGGAGATTCTCCAGGATGTCGCCTGAGATGGAGCAGTTTATCTATGAAGGGAGGCTGGATAGGCTTGGGTTATTTGCTTTAGAGCAGAGAATGGTGAGAGATTGATACAATTATGATGGACATAGACAGTTGGATAGAAATCAGCTGTTCCCCTTTGTGCAGGGTCGATAACAAGGGGACACAGTTCTAAAATGAAAGGCAGGAGGTTTGGAGGAGATTTAAGGAAACTCCTTTTCACTCAGAGGGTGGTAGGTGTCTGGAATGCACTGCCTGGGAGGGTAGTTGAGGCAAGAAACCTCACAACCTTTAAAAAGTACATGAACAAGCGCATGAAATGTCATAACATTCAAGGGCTGTGGGCTCAGTGCAGGGAAGTGGGACTAATGTAGATTTAGGGTAGTGCAGACTCGATGGGCTGAAGGGTCTGTTGTGTACTGTGTGAGAGAGTTGGGTTGTCAGAAAGTGTGAGAGTCAGTGCAGAATACACGTCTTCCTTTTACCAGCTCGGCTGTGTTGATGTGTCCGGTCTGCGATGGGCAGAGGTAACAGTGAGGCAAGGCCCTTTTTGGTTGTCAAGCTGGTAGCCTTCTGGAAGCAAGCAGGAACAACATGAGCTGATCGTTTCCTGTCACAATGATTTTTTTCCACAAAGGGAGCGATTGTGATACGAGGCAGCTGGAGCTGCAACACAGGAAAGTTTCCTGCCCTGCCAGGCCTACAGTCACTTGGGGAAACTCGGTGGAATATCTCCACTGGCTGAGGTTGGACACAGCTCTGTGGCATGGGCTGGCAGGATGCAGAGGCAAGTGTGATTGTATTTTTATCTTGGCTGATTCTGGAGCTTTCATTCCTCGCTTCCACCCTCAATGAACCTCCCCAGCCCGGTGATATAAGACCATCCAATATAGGAGTGGAATTGGGCCATTTGACCCATTGAGGAGGCTGGGGGTGGGGGTGGGGTGGGGCATAGATAGGGAGAATAGCCAAGGAGGGCACTATGGAGGACTCGAGCAGTGAGGCAATATGGGCAGAGCTCAGAAATAGGAAGGGTGCGGTAACAATGTTGGGGCTATACTACAGGCCTCCCAACAGCGAGCGTGAGATAGAGGTACAAATATGTAGACAGATTATGGAAAGATGTAGGAGAAACAGGGTGGTGGTGATGGGAGATTTTAATTTTCCCAACATTGACTGGGATTCACTTAGTGTTAGGGGTTTAGATGGAGCAGAATTTGTAAGGAGCATCTAGAGGGTTTTCTAGAGCAGTATGTAAATAGTCCAACTCGGGAAGGGGCCATACTGGACCTGGTGTTGGGGAATGAGCCCAGCCAGGTGGTTGAAGTTTCAGTCAGGGATTACTTTGGGAATAGTGCTCACAATTCCGTAAGTTTTAGAATACTGATGGACAAAGATGAGAGTAGTCCTAAAGGAAGAGTGCTAAATTGGGGGAATCGGCAGGAGCTGGGAAATGTGGATTGAGAGCAGCTGTTTGAGGGTAAATCCACATTTGATATATGGGAGGCTTTTAAAGAGAGGTTGATTAGAGACAGACATGTCCCTGTGAAAATGAGGGATAGAAAGGGCAAGATTAGGGAACCATGGATGATAGATGAAATTGTGAGACGAGCAAAGAGGAAAAAGGAAGCATACATAAGGTCTAGGCAACTGAAAACAGATGGAGCTTTGGAAGAATATCGGGAAAGTAGGAACAATCTGAAACGAGGAATTAAGAGGGCTAAAAGGGGTCATGAAACATCTTTAGCAAACAGGGTTAAGGAAAATCCCAAAGCCTTTTATTCGTACATAAGGAGCAAGAGGGTAACTAGAGAAAGGGTTGGCCCATTCAAGGACAAGGGAGGGAAGTTATGCGAGGTGTCAGAGAAAATGAGTGAGATTCCTAATGAGTACTTTGCGTCGGTATTCACTGAGGAGGGGGACATGACGGATGTTGAGGTTAGGGATAGATGTTTGATTACTCTAGGTCAAGTCAGCATAAGGAGGGGGGAAGAGTTGGGTATTCTAAAAGGCATTAGGGTGGACAAGTCCCTAGGTCCGATGGGATCTATCCCAGGTTACTGAGGGAAGCGAGAGAGGAAATAGCTGGGGCCTTAACAGATATCTTTGTAGCATCGTTGAGCACGGGTGAGGTCCCGGAGGACTGGAGAATTGTTAATGTTGTCCCCTTGTTTAAGAAGGGTAGCAAGGATAATCCAGGTAATTATAGACCAGTGAGCCTGACATCAGTGGTGGGGAAGCTGCTGGAGAAGATACTGAGGGATAGGATCTATTCACATTTGGAAGAAAATGGGCTTATTAGTGATAGGCAGCATGGTTTTGTGCAGGGAAGGTCATGTCTTACCAACTTGATAGAATTCTTTGAGGAAGTGACAAAGTTGATAGATGAGGGAAGGGCTGTAGATGTCATATACATGGACTTCAGTAAGGCATTTGATATGGTTCTCCATGGTAGGCTGATGGAGAAAGTGAAGTCGCATGGGGTCCAGGGTGTACTATATAGATGGATAGAGAACTGGCTGGGCAACAGGAGACAGAGAGTTGTAGTGGAAGGGAATTTCTCAAAATGGAGAACTGTGACCAGTGGTGTTCCACAGGGATCTGTGTTGGGACCACTGTTGTTTATGATATACATAAATGATCTGGAGGAAGGTATAGATGGTCTGATTAGCAAGTTTGCAGATGACACTAAGGTTAGTGGAGTAGCAGATAGCGAAAGGGACTGTCGGAGAATGCAGCAGAATATAGATAGATTGGAGAGTTGGGTGGAGAAATGGCAGATGGAGTTCAATCCAGGCAAATGAGAGGTGATGCATTTTGGAAAATCCAATTCAAGAGCGAACTATACGGTAAATGGAAAAGCCCCGGGGAAAATTGATGCACAGAGAGATCTGGGTGTTCAGGTCCATTGTACCCTGAAGGTGGCAACGCAGGTGGATAAAGTGGTCAAGAAGGCATGCGGCATGCTTTCATTCATCAGACGGGGTATTGAGTACAAGAGCTGGCAGGTCATGTTACCGTTGTATTGGACTTTGGTTCGACCACATTTGGAATACTGTGTACAGTTCTGGTCGCCACATTATCAAAAGGATGTAGATGCTTTGGAGAGGGTGTAGAGGAGGTTCACCAGCATGTTGCCTGGTATAGAGGGCACTAGCTATGAAGAGAGGTTGAGCAGATTAGGATTATTTACATTAGAAAGATGGAGGTTGAGGGGGGACCTGATTGAGGTCTACAAAATCATGAGAAGTATAGACAGGGTGGATAGCAAGAAGCTTTTTCCCAGAGTGGGGGACTCAGTTACTAGAGGTCACGATTTCAAGGTGAGAGGGGAAAAGTTTAAGGGAGGTATGCGTGGAAAGTTCTTTACGCAGAGGGTGGTGGGTGCCTGGAACGCGTTGCCAGCGGAGGTGGTAGAGGCGGGCACGATAGCGTCATTTAAGATGTATCTAGACAAATACATGAATGGGCAGGGAGCAGATGGATACAGATCCTTGGAAAATAAGTGATAGGTTTAGATAGAGGATCTGGATTGGCGCAAGCTTGGAGGACCGAAGGGCCTGTTCCTGTGCTGTAATTTTCTTTGTTCTTTGTTCTTTATTCCTTTCCCTCGGGTAGTGGAGTCCAAAACTAGACGGCATAGGTTTAAAGTGAGAGTGGAAAGATTTAATAGGAGCTTGAGAGGTAACTTCACATAAAGGATGGTGCTTATACATGATATGAATCAGACCCTTCAGCCCCTCTCGTACATGCTGACCAGGTTTCTTATATTGAACCTGTCCCGTTTGCCTGTGTTTGGACCATATCCCTTTAAGCCTTTCCTATCCATGTATCCATTTCTAAATGTCTTTTAAATATTGTAATTTTACCAGCCTCTACCACCAGCTCATTCCATACACGCACCACTCTCTGCGTGAAAAAGTTGCCCCTTAGGTCCCTTTTAAATCTTGCCCATCTCACCGTAAACATATGCCGTCTAGTTTTGGACTCCCCTACCCTGAGGAAAAGCCCTTGGCTATTCACTCTATCTATGTATGTCCTATCTACATATATTAATGTCCTTTAAGGAAGGAAACTGCTATTGTTACCTGGTCTGGCCTATATGTGACTCTGGACCCACAGCAATGCGGTTGACGCTTAACTGCCCTCTGGGCAATTAGGGACGGGCAATAAATGCTGCCTGGCCATTGATGCCCTCATCCTGTGAATGAATGAAAAGAAAATATATTGATTATAAAGCTTTCGAGACGTGGGGCAAGACAAGGCCCTCTCACAATTACATTGTGAGCTCTTAAGACAACAACATTTCCCTTCAGTGCAGGTAGACAGGATCATCGTTTGAAAAATCTCTACATTGGACTTGAAATTTAACAGGGCTCTCAGTCTCATAGCCCTGGGTATCATTGTTATGTACAATGGCCTTGACTCTTTAGTTATGCCAACGAAGTCATACTGATGCTCCACGGGACATTAGTCTTGTTACACTTGAAGTGTTACTTGAAGCTAAGTTCACCAACGCTACAAAAAGAAATAGTCCTACTGCAGCTCTGCAAAGAAGAGAAAGATGTGAATAAATAATTTCTATTCGGAGATCATTGGTTCAAGAGTGAAGGGTCAAAAAGTTCATTAATGTTCTCATTAAGAAGAAAAGATTGAGTGATAGAGGGTAGAGCTGTGAATTTTGAACACTCGAAATTATGGAAAGAATTAATGAGACTGGAAACTCGAGCTGGGATGGAGAAATCAAAGGTCATGATTATCAGATGAAGAAACTTGAGTTGCACTTCTGTCGGGAGAGGGAACAAAACCTGACCTTAGGCTGCCTCAATTAGAATTAGAACCTTACAGATTGAAGGGATGTTGCCTGCAACGAAAGTCTCTTAAAAGGGAAATGTTCCTGGGCCACGAAAGGCAGGTGGAGGAACAGAACTTGTCTGTGTATAAAATGAAGACAAAGGGACAGCATCATTTCATCTCAAAGGCAAGTTGGAAACCGAGGAGCAGGAGTAGGCTATTCAGTCCATCTGGCCCATTCTGTCATTCTAGATCACCTAGCTCAACACCATTTTACCACACTGTTCCCAGTACCCCTCGATGAAATTGGTATCTCGAAATGTATCGACCTCTATCTTGAACACACTCAATAATTGAACTTCCAAGACCCTCTGGGGTATAGAATTCCAAAGATTCACCACACTCTGAGTGAATAATCTCCTCCTTGTCCCTGTATTAAATGGCTTACCTTTTATTCATTTTTCAGTTCCTTCACAGGATGTGGGTGCCGCTGGCCAGGCAGCATTTATTGCCCATCCCTAAATGCCCCCCACCCCCAGAGGGCAGTTGAGAGTCAACCACATTGCTGTGGGTCTGGAGTCACATGTAGGCCAGACCAGGTAAGGATGGCAGTTGCCTTCCCTAAAGGACATTGGTGACCCAGATGGGTTTTTCCTGACAATCGGCAATGGATTCACGGTCATCATTAGATTCTTAATTCCAGGTATTTTATTGTATTCAAACTCCATCATCTGCCGTGGTGAGTTTCAAACCCAGGTCCCCAGAACAGTATCTGGGTCTCTGGATTAATAGTCCAGTGATAATACCACTAGGCCGTCACCTCCCCGTATAGACCATGCAGCCCATCAAGTCTATCCCACCATTCAATGAGATCATGACTAATCTGATCATTTTCAACTCCACTCTCCTGTCTATTCACCATTACCATTGATTCCTTTGTTGATTAAAAATCTGTCTATCTCATCCTTGACTACAGCCATAGAGATGTGCAGCATGGAAACAGATCCTTCAGTCCAACTCGTCCATGCCGACCAGATATCCCAGATAAATCTCGTCCCATCTGCCAGCATTTGGCCCATATCCCTCTAAACCCTTCCTATTCATATTCCCATCAAGATGCCTTTTAAATGTTGTAATTGTACCAGCCACTTTGTCTGGCAGCCAGACACGCACCACCCTCTGTGTAAAAAAGCTGCCCCTCAGGTCCCTTTTAAATTTTTTCCTCTCGCCTTAAACTTATGCATACTTAATGACCCAGCTTCTGTGGCAAAGAATTCCACAGATTCACAACCCTGTGAAAAACGAAATTCCTCTGCATCTCCATTTTCACAATGCAACCTCTTATTCCGAGATTGTGAAGCTCTGGTCTTACACCCTGGCACACTATGATGTAGAGATGCCGGTGCTGGACTGGGGTGGACAAAGTCAGAAGTCACAAGTCATCAGGTTATAGTCCAACTGGTTTATTTGAAATCACAAACATTCAAAGTGCTGCTCCTTCGTCAGGTGACCTGACGAAGGAGCAGCGCTCCAAAAGAATGCAAGTTCAGATAAACCTGCTGGACTATAACCTGTCTTGCACAGTAAATACTGGTCTTGCTTTTAATCCCCTTTCTTCCTGCCTCCCAGACTAGCCAGTAAGGAATCTATTCACAGACATCTGCTGTTGTCGCTAGTTCTGATTGGAAGTGTACTAGGAGGTATACTTCTTTTACAAAGGCTCTTCTTGACCAAATTACCCCACCCCCAAGACTCCTGCAATTGGTTGCTCAACACATCTACCATCGCAACGTGTGACCAATTGGGGAAGGGAATTGGTTCCTCATTCCTTGATTGGCTACTTCATGTCTGAACCCACCAACGCCACCACCACTTTGCTGCCTTCTCCTTATTTCCAGTTAATAGGTAAAAGTGCTCAATGAAAATTACTAAATAAAATGGTTTTGTGCTTCAGATGATTGTAGTCCCAGGTTTCACAGAGATGTACTGAAGATTCACTTTCAATTTCTGGAGTTTCCAGGTCTATCCTCCCAACAAAGAACAAATTACCTGCATTTATCTCGTAACCTTCGTGACCTCATGGCATTATGGGTGGCACAGTGGCACCACTGTGGCTCAGTGGTTAGCACTGCTGCCTCACAGTGCCAAAGACCTGCATTCAATTCCACCCTCAGGTGACTGTGCAAACATAGACATTCTCCCCGTGTCTATGTGGGTTTTTCCTCCGGGTGCTCCGGTTTCCTCCCACAGTCCAAAGATGTGCAGGTTAGTGGATTAGCCATGTTAAATTGCCCATAGTATCCAGGGATTTGCAAGCTCGGTGGGTTAGCCATATGCTATGTCGGGTTACAGGGATTAGGCTGGGGGGTTGGGTGGATCTGGGTGGGATACTTTTGGAAGTGTCAGAGCAGACTTAATGGGCCGAATGATTCTTTCCATGTTGTAGAGATTCTACAATCCCGATGTTCTATACTTTATGAACTACTTGTGAATTATAATTCCAGGTGTCATATAGAAAGCACAGCACCTAGTTTGTGCACAGCAAGATCCTACAACTGTGATTAAAATCTCATGCAATCACTTTCTGTGATGCTGATTGAAGAATCAATGCTGGCCAGGGGAGGTTGGTAGGTCAGTTGGCTGGTGCATGATGTCAACAGTATGGGTTCAATTCCTAAACCAGCTGAGGTCACCATCAAAGTCCTACCTTCTCAACCTCTTCTTTTGCTTGAGGCGTGGTGACCCTCAGGTTAAACCACCACCATTTCTCTGTCTCTTTCTCCTGAGAGAGCAGCCCTATGGTCCGATAGGATTGTGGTAACTACCTTGAAATACTCGCCTAGATGCCAAAGAGAACTCCAGCGTTGTTATTCTTCATAATCATGCCATGGGATGTTTCACATCCACCACAGGGGGCAGCACCTCTGGATGGGCACCATACCACTATAACAAGGTGCAGGGCTGGATGAACACAGCAGGCCAAGCAGCATCATAGGAGCAGAGAGGCTGACGTTTCGGGCCTAGACCCTTCACCCGAAACGTCAGCCTTTCTGGTCCTATGATGCTGCTTGGCCTGCTGTGTTCATCCAGCCCTGCACCTT